AAATATATATAAAATAAGTATATATATATATATATGTGTGTGTGTGTGTGTGTATGTAAATGTTTATGTATATACATGCATATGTATATGTGAATATGTACACGTTCGTATATGGATATGTATATATATACAATATATATTATATATATATATATATATATATATATATAGAACTCAAATGCCAGGCACAAAATTTAATATATCGTGAACAATGTTGTGTTGAGATAAGTGTGGACCAGCCAATTTATGCACATGAAAATTATGAAAGGCAAACAGTCATTCGTTTCCATACGAGCTTACTATGCTCCGTGCGCGTGATTTAGACCTTTGTTTGGATGCTTCGATTTTCCTCAGATAAAACAGTGTGTGTGATGCAGTATTATAAAGAAAGTCTGATATCTATTCTGCCTCGAACCGCTTTTTTGTACTCGGCCGTGCTTATATATAGGCTTTGTTTAGTTCTAGTTCAGCTGCAATTGTGCACAACACTGAAGTTTTGACGGCTACAAAGCGTAAACAAGAACACGGACAAATAAGCAATGGGAAAAGGGTACATAATTTGTTTGCTATTTTTTTGTCGACTCTCGTACAGAAACTACTAAATGATAGCATTGTGGATACAAGGATGTGTGACTGTGTGGCAAGGATGTTTGGGCACAGATTCAATCTCTCTGTAGTGGTATTTTTTTTAACAAATATATACGTAGTTATTTACACATATATACATATATAACGTATTTATTTACACATATATACATATATAAATATACAAATACATATACATACATATACATATACATATACGTATACGTATACGTATACATATATATATATATATATATATATATATGTGTGTGTGTGTGTGTGTGTACATGTTTATGTATATACATGTATATGTATATTTGGATATGTATATATATACAATTATATATTTAATATATACATATATATATATATCCATATATGAACGTATACATATACACATATACATTTACATGTATATACATAAACATAAACTTGTACATACACACACACATATATATATATATATATATATATTCTCTATATGTGGCATTTTCTGTCTGTCACGCTCATAATCCAATGAAATGGCTTAAGCCAAACATATACCAATCAGAAGTTCTAAGATCTCAGAATTTGTAAATTTTAGGATTGAAAGGCTTTTTTGGGTCTTTAATTGTCGCGGCCTCGAGGCCAGTTGCGGGCCCTCAGCCTCAGGCCTCAGCACAAGTCAGCAGACTTCAATATTTACATACGCGCTTCATATATGCTGAAGTCCTAGTACGTTTTACGTTAACGCTTAGTTTTGAAGCCGTTTTCCCGTTTTCAAGTATGAGTAAACTAGAAGCCAATTCCAAATACATATTTTGTTTGGATATATGTACTATAAGAACGAATTAATAGCTGTTATATTTTAACTGTAAAGTATCTGTCCAACTAAAAACAAACCATTTCATCTTTTGGCAAAATATAGTTGGCGGGTTCTGCCAAATATAAAGGCGGGCACGAAACCAGTTCTATATAACATTATCAACGATTGAAAACGTAGTCCGTTATTCATTAACGCAATGCATCGATTTGAAAGCGTGTCGACGTAAATATTCCGAATAGAAGTCTGGCCCGAGCCTCAGCCCTCAGTTGGCCCACAGCCCTCAGCGGCTCAGCCTCTCGTCTCAGGCACTCAGCCGCCGCCAAGTCGGCTAGTCCTTTTTCTACTATAAAATGCGATTGTTTCAACTAAAAAAAAGAAGAAAAATGTAGAATGTACTGTAGAACCGTACTTGAGAGAACCCGAGAAATGCCCCTACTACTTAGATATATAAGGCAATAACAGGCTGCGATTTGTTACTTGTGCTTATCAGTATTCAGTAAAAATCACATGGACGATTCGAATCTGAATTGCACAATCCACACTTATAAATATGCCAACAATTACAGGCCACGCTGAGCGTGTCTCGCGGTCCTCCATTGTCACCGGAGCGCCAATATGGCCGCAATCTGTGGATGAGGGAACGCATATGATGGCGTCTCCGCAGAGGACGTCCATTGGGTCTTACACACGCACCAGTAGTGTTGGCGAGGGCTCGTCTCTGCTGCCCACGACGGAAACAGCCGACGGCGAGAAACCGCTCGGTGAAGTTGGATTTGGCGCTACCACTTTCAATAGCGTCAACACTATGCTGGTGGGTCATTTGTCAGCGCTGAGCTGGTATCACTGCACGCCGCGGCTGCTAGTATTGCACTTATTTGAGTTAATCAACCCGTTCACAGAGAGTGTCAGTTTTATCTTGTCATCTGTGCAATTCCGCTGCAAGTGAAATTTTTATCTGTGATTCAAATCGAAGGAGTCAAATTTATGTGCACTATTTTATTGCATCTCGGTTTAGCGCCTCCCTTTGTGCAAGTGCCTATTGCAACCCCGCGTGAACGCAAATGCTCGAGTTTCATCTTCATGATTGGTACACGCTCAGGTACAAACAAACCTAATGGCAAGCCTTTGTATCAAATGCACTGAATTCAAAATACTTGGTTAGCGCGAAATTATGATTTTCTTCTTCTACGTTGCTTATAGGGATCTGGGTGTCTCAGCTTACCGTACGCGTACAGGATCAGCGGTTGGCTGTTCTGCAGTATTGTAATGGTTCTATTGCTGTTCGTCACACTTCACACGGGCAAGATCTTGCGGAAATGTCTAGATTATTATCCCGGAATTCGGTCGTTTCCTGATATCGGAGAGGTAGCATTCGGCGTGAAAGGACGTTACTTTATATCGGTAATGTTCTACTTTGAGCTATTTACTGCCTCTGTGATGTACGTTATCTTGGCCGCGGACAATCTTCTAGTACTTTTACCGGCTTGGGAGAAATGGCAGCTGATAGTTATTACGTGTTTAATCGTACTACCAACGGCCAGTACATCTAAATTAGGTATGTGGCGAGATTCCTGTTATACTTTCTTCGTACGCATACCTCTATCGGAATTCTCTTCGGGTTGTGCTTCCCAAGACATTAACATATCCGGGTGTTGTATTGCTTGTATATTGCTTATTTGGTTAGGACGCATACGTATGTTTTTGACACGATTGGTGAATTTTGTGCGTCCACTTTAGTTTATTGACGCTCGTGTTAATAGGCTGACTTGTCGCAGTTTGGTGAATTTACCGGTGCGTGCACCTGTTTGATATTTTTTTCGTTAATTACTTATCATGCTAAAATGAACGCAAATATTCCATTCACTTGATTGTGACTCGTACTCTTCCTATATATATATATATATTATAGTATATGCACGTATGTATAAAAGGTATATACATATATTATAGTATATGTATAAGAGGTATGTATTATATATATATATATATATATATATACGTGTGTGTTTTAACATTGTATTTATCCGTATATATGTATACATATATATATATATGTGTGTGTGTGTTTTTAACATTGTAATATTTATCCGTTTGTATGTATACACACACATAAAAATATTGATATATATATATATATATAGTGTATTATGTGCATATTTATATTTATATAGGTATGCAAATTTTAGTATTCCATTTTTCTATTTGTACCTATACACACACACACGCATATATAGATATGCGTATATGCAAGCACATGAACATATATCTATATCCATGTGTTTATGTATGTACACCTGTTCATATACAACACTGAGAAATATCTGCTGTTGATTAGAATCATGTAGTCATAAGAAGGCAGGGAGAGTTTATCCAAATTAGACCGTGCTGGATCGTATCGGCTACAGTTGGTGCGTGCATGTATTTTATGTGGAGTAAGGCTTGTAAATCATTGTTGGTGCACAATTAGCATCGATTGATTAAATATTGTTCTTCGAAAGTCGTATTCATATGTATTCTTTTTTGAATATATTATTTTAGTCACAGTTGATTTCCCGTGTATCAGCATAAGCTCTAAATTGATCCGCTCATCCCGTGTCTGGTTTCAATTACACTAGTGAAGTACGTTGTGTGATTAGGAGAGCATCTGGGCCAAATCAGTTCCAGAATGGTATAAAATAGCAGCTATCTACACTATTTCTATACCCATGAACGTACTTCAAGCCATTGCATGTATTATTAAGTACTTACAGGGTTGTTGTTGTTTTTTGTACACCAATCTATCATTCGGGCCTCTGTTTTCTCACACACGATCTCGCGATTGCATAAACTAAATGTAATGGGAAAGTATCAGTTGAAGCAGCGTGTAGGTTCAGCTAGCACTATTGGACTAGTAATACAAATTGATCTCAACTCTTCCGTTTGGAAACACGTCAAGCCTGTACAACTACGAGTATTAATATTTGGTGCGGTATTTCATTTGTCATTCATAGTCAGTCAGCCCATGATTTTTAAATTACATAATCACTAAATGTATATTCTGATCAAACCTCCATCTTGTGTACTCGGGTTTCTTTCAGGCATACTTTCATACTTTTCCTTGGTCGGTATCACTGCGTCGCTGGTACTCACTTTGGTAGTGCTCGAATTTGGATTCACAACTACTGAGGCACCAGGTAGTGTCTGGGACCCCATGCCTACATCTATCATGCCACCAGATTACGATAAGTCGTTCGCCGTATTTGGGCTGGTCATGGTTGGATTCGCAGGGTATGCATACAGTCAAACCGGTATTTTTCATCTAAATTGTTGACATTGAGCTTTAGTTCAAATATGACAGAGCAATATCTGGAAGCTCTAAAATAGGAAGATTTGACAACGCCGTTGCTGAGTATTTGATTGACTGATTGATGGCTGTGTTGGCGTGCTCTTTTATATTTTTCTGGACACCCATTCTGGCTCGTACAGAAAATTTATTCCAATCTTCTGTTTGCTAATGGGATGAGAATCGTCGTCATTGTCGTCACGCATGGTTGTAATTCAAGTGTCATTGTTCACTACTGTCAGCCATGCGCACAACACGACCGTGTACTCGTCTACACTAGTTGTAAATTAGCGATACTATATTCCTCTCATCTGCTATCGTTTCTTTTGCCAGGCATGCGTGTCTCCCAAGTATCTATGAATCGATGTCCACTCCCCAGGACTACGACCGAATGTTGAATATCACGTGGATTGTATTATCCACTGTATATTTGTCAGTTGCAGTTGTGGGATACCTCATGTACGGCAACGATACTGAAGACATGGTAAGCATCTTGATATCCGCATATGGTTGTTGCTCGGCTAGATTTTTTTTCGCGCGTACCTTGGCCAGATATTTTCTGTAAACTGTGTTTGTTGACATTCAATATTTGCTCTGCCGGTATAGATCACAAAGAACCTGGAGAAAGGCTGGGCCGCCACTATGACAGTTGTTTTAATTGTCATCAACCCGATGACAAAGTTTGGCTTGACAATTAATCCGATTGCTCTCGCGTCGGAAGAATTAACTGAGGAAAGATTATCGCCTGGGTATGTGATCACAATACATGTTGAATCGCTCATATTTGCACACTTTGGTTTGACGCCAGAGTGTACAACTGCTATTACCATTGTCGATGTCAATAATCCCAGGAGATAAGCACGTTTGCCCCTTTTTCGATCTGAACCTACGAGCTCGCCTATGGACAGGCAAGGCAGTTGGTGGATCTTTTCGATCTGAGCGCGTGAAACGAATCACTTATTCACAAAAGAGAATCAGAAAGGGTACACAACCCCGAGAGTTGTTTCTGCAGCAAAAATATCCTTGTCGAGTACTTCGTTGCTATAGTCTATAATGCTGACATTCAATTGTTTCTTCTTGTTATACACAGGCCACGTTTTATATTTGATATGCTCGTTCGCTGGGGCCTAACAGGTCTAGTCGCCATTACGTCAATTGTGGTGCCGAACTTTGCCACGGTCATAGGACTTATTGGCTCTGTTTTCTCATTTTCCGTGAGTGTACTCTTCCCTGTTGCCGCGTACCTTTCTCTTTACGGCGATGAATTGAGTTCTACCGAGATACTCGTGAATCGTGTGATATTTGGTACTTCTGCCATTATGGCTATTCTTGGAACTTATGGAACACTCTGTCTAGCCTAATTATCGCTCCCTATTAAAGCCTCAACTCAAAAGGTGTCGCTTTGTGACTATACCGATTTCATTCAACTGTCGAATACGTTCATTGGGAAGCTCGGACCGTCGAAGTTGCCATATCACTGTTGCTTTAATAGCGGTGGATACATTCAAGGGAGAAAATATACTTACCGGAGCTTGCAGAGACATCGGAACCTGCTAATACGCTAATATCGTTGTCTGTAGAAATGGCAGTTAACCCGAAGAGGTCCTTATAACGCTTCATGAGAAGTTGACCAAGAAGTTGTGACAATTATTAACTTGTGAAATTTCAGGAATTTCGTTCGATATCAACATTAATTAATACTTTAGTTACCTATCTCGCGAATCAATTTGGATAGTGACTGGGCCGTCATTTATGAGAGCCACGTCCATCATTGCTCCGAACATGCCATCTTGAATTTTGGCCGGATCATAGAGCTGCTTCAATTCTTCGATCATGCTATGGTACAGCGGTTCCGCCCTGTGGATGTTTTGCATTAGACCAACCACAAAAATGGCATGCGAAACCACTATTCAGTGTTCAGTATTACATCAAACAAAGTCATGGGTCACGGATCACAACTATTATCAGAATAAAGTTCATATAATCGAACTTCTACACTCTAGAAAAGGATGATACTTTCAGACTCTTGCTACACTTACAGAGCCCCTCCCATCGAGCTGGAAAAGTTCGGCGATGTCGTTTCACTCGTTCCCATAACGTAAACTGGCTAACACAGAGAATGCTATAGGTTTTTTCCTGCACGTTCTGTAGTGAGTATTTTCCAACAACAACAAAATGTATGAGCTTCGCAATTTATGGCATTTACGGCAACCATGACAATGTAAATATAACATGCAAAATTCGTGAACGTTCACACCGCGGAATCGAACCGAGAGCATAGTGTATTCACATTTACAGGGCATAGTTCACAATACAGACTTGTTGCAAGCTAAAGGCGATGTACCTGTGACCACATTTTGCCTTCATCGTTCCTCCATAGGCGAATATTCAAAATCTTTCTCAAGCTGGATGCGTGGAAGGTAGGTTAGCCAAATAGAACCAAGAAAACAATTGGCTGAACACGGCCTTAATTCGGCTGACGCAACTTTAGCCCAAGTAATGGTTTTATTTACACGACTTACGGTTAGTGAGTAACGACCTGTCGCCGGCAGTGTTTGTGTCGTTCCCCTATCAGTATTACACTATTGATAGCCAATGGTCGACGAAGATTTAGACGTAGAGTGAACTCGCGTATTTTCGCTTGATATATTGAAACACTCAAGAAGCATACATACATGTAGTCGATGTCGTCCTTCGTATCATCCTTATGAATACCAATAAGAACAAGCATTCCACAGCCAATCTCGCCTGTTATCGTTCCTTGCACTACAGTGTGAGGTTCGGAGTGATGCAACTTAATTTGCTTGACAGGTGGTGCAAGTTAATTTGCTTGACAGGCGGTGCAAGTTAATTTGCTTGACAGGTGGTGCAAGTTAATTTGCTTGACAGAAAGCTCGCGCGCAAGTATTAGACTCTTTCCGAATCGACCATTCAGACCTGAAAAATAAATTCATGTTCTCAACGGCTTTTTTCTTATCTATGCGCGTAAGCACGTAGACGGTCAAGTGCGTCTAATAAAGGCTACGACGGCATAAAAACTACCACAATTTTACTCTTTATGTACAACCAGAGTATTTAGAATCGTATGTGCA